TCTACTAGGAAAAAAACTAGCCTCAGATCACAAGTTATCAGGTCGATTTTTTAGCTTATTAAACAAAAAATTACCGGAGTACGGAGCAGACAATGCATATCAAAATTAGTAATGGCCCGGTTCCAGCGCAATGCACGAATCCGGACTAAGTGCTATTGTTTGAATCGACACGCCCTTTCACTTCCAATGCGATCCAAGATAGCTTTCGCATGTCCGCCCGTCGGTGTAGATGATCCGCACCCTCTCATGTTTCATGTTTCATCAAAAGAAACCCCTTCTTTGCAGCCACCGGACATATGGGAGTTTTCAGGTCAGACCAATCCCCCCGTCAAGGCAGGGGCACTCCCTTGAACGGTACAGATCATTGTTCGAATAAGGCATCATATTTCTTCTTGAACCCGGCATCTGTGTCGGCAGCAACAGCATCTGTGGGGAGATTGTTCCATGCATTCACGGCGCGCCTTGAGAGTTGATTGATGTGCAAGAGGCCGTCTGTTCTTTGCAACACAAGTTTGAAGCAGTGTCCGCGCGTAGGCATATCAAAGACCAGTTTGAAGTACTGTGCTATCTCCGGGATGTCGCCGCAAACGATCATTTTTGACATCATGATTTGGTCGCCTCTAGAGCGTAGAAATTCGATGGTGAACAGGTCCAGTGCTTTACAACGCTCCGGATATGTCAGCCTCCTCACTTCTGGCACCATTGTTGATCCCAGCCGTGGCACATATTCGATATCGGTCATCTCGCCTTTCGTACACGGGAACCAAGCGGTCGATCCATATTCCATGATCGGGCGGATGAATGTGACCATAAGCTTACGGAATAACTGCATGGACCAGGACGTGAATACTATTTTGAACAACCAAAGTAGTGCCAGACCCTTGCGTCTCGCCAGGGTTTATTGTTCTCGGGTTTTGAGGTCGTCTTCAATGATAACGCCCAGATCACGAGCACTCCTAACAGCGGCCAGTGTCATGTTGCCCATTGTATAGGGTAGGTGGTCCTGGTTTCTCCCAATTATCAGCAAGTCTGATTAGTTTACGTTGACCGGTATCTTGATCTCCAATGACCATTCATGGCTCACATTA